AAAATGATCATGCGTCTGGCATCACGATCACTGGGGAGTCATTTTCATTGCATGTTACAGGCAGGAGTGTGAGCCAGTGGAGAACCACATGTAGCATTACAGGCAAAGAGTCTGGGTTGTTCTCTCTGGTTCCTCAATATCAACTTTCTGGGATCATACACTTTCTGACTCTTGCCTGGAGATAATGAATCAGGCAACAAAGACAAACTGTATCATGACTTTTCTTCTGTTTCCTCTCTAACCTGTGCAACCGACCTACTTTGGGGGAGGCTGTGATACATAATTAAGTAAGAAGATTCAGGACTGTCACATATCAAATGTGACCAACGTTTTGCCTGTTGCATTCATCTCAGACCTTTAACTATCCTCCTTTATCCCCACCTAATTTAGTTTCTTTAACTTTTAGTCTCTCTGTCTTATCCCACCATTTTTTTGCATCATACAAAGAACAGGTTTTGTATCCGCAGGGTTTAAATGAGGACCTTCATCATGGCATTAAAACATCTGTGTTTTAAACCAACAGGCCATTAACTTACTGGTAATCACTGCACAAATGATCAGCATACTTTTCCATGTTATTGTGACCAAGCTTTTGAGCAGATAGCAGTCATAATACTGCTTTTGGGGAGTGCGTGTCAAGAGAGGAGGGCGATGACACTGCAGTTGTCATGTATGTGGAACACTCAAAGAAATAAGACAGCAGATCAATGGCATGACTCACTTTGTTAGCACAGTGTTGTATGTCCCGTTTGGTGATGGACAGATTAGATCTGGATGCTCACTCTGGCACAGTAGCAAATCACCTGATAGCAAATTAAAAACATGGAAGGAATGAAGTTGATAGCCTACAGAGAGCTGTGGGTATAAGGCTGTTTTAAAAAACAAGGGGAAGATCCCTCCATTTTCCCATGGAAAACAACTTGATAAATGGATCAGGCAAGTTGAGTTTTGCAAGTTGTAAAGAGTCCTGCTCATGTTAGGAATAGCCTTTTCTAGCAAGTCAACAGAAGCAAAAAGGGCAAGGGATTATGGAGAGGTTGAGTCGCAGGGGAAATGACGTGATTGTTCCCCCGTGCTGCTGTGGTGCATCTGTCGCCAGGGTATATGGGTGAAGCTTTTCTGCAAGAGGAGACTGTCTGTTAGTACAGCGCTGGCAAGTACGGCACATGCTCCAGAGAGGTATGGGTACAGTCATGCTGGCCATGTTTGTTACTGGTTATACCGTGCCTATCTACCCCCCACTGAATTGTTTCCCAATTGCATATATAACACTGAGTTAAAGGAGCGTCTGCTGTGTGACTGGGATGTTTGAAAGCTGCTTGCACATTCTTGGGACATAATGGGGAGCTCTGGGGTTTTGAACACCAGGTTAACAAGAAGGACCCTTCTGTTATTTTCTTCTCATACAGCAGCACTGGGGCTCAGCCTACAGATGAGTCAAGGCTGCCAGTTCACTCATCCAGAAACACTTTTTTCAGCAAGTAGCAGCTGACTCAAAAATTTCAGTGTCATCTTTGTATTTCTTTGCGTTTTACTAACCATAACTCAGCAATCCAAGTTGGTGGTTTTACATTCTGTCTCTTTACAGTATCACCTTGCAGATAGTAAGACAGTCATCTTCTTGGAAATTTTTTTCACTGTTAAAAGAATCCAAAGTTTAAATAAATACTTGGCCTTTTGGTAGTGTGTTTTTTTTTTCTTTCTCTTCCTCTCCTTTTTTAACTACAAAGTTCCAGGAAGGGAATTATTAAACCTGGACTCCATGTTGAATGAGGGCTTGGAAGGGGAGAAGGCAAAGGCTACTGTGGCTGAGCTGAAGGACAGAACAGACTCCTTAACTAGTCAAGGATCTAAATCTAAGCTAGTCCATTCCCAAGAGCCACTTGTGATGATTATGTTCTGTGGTTGATTTATTTATAACTATAGCAGTTGCAGTGGGAACAAAACATTAGGCCAAATTCTGACCTCAGAATATAAATCTAGAATAATTTCATTCTGATTTTTTTAAATTTTGATGGCATTACTTTGGATTCATTCTACTGTAACTGAGATCAGAATCTGTTCTGTTATATAAGATTTTTTTTTTTCTTTGAGCCTGCATTTCTACCATCCTTTTGTCTCATTTTGAACACAAAGAGCAGCAGAGTGTATGTTTAAACTAGTGCTGCAGCCACCTCCGTATGCTCATCCGTACCTTGAGGTGAACCAGACTTTGAGCCTCCTCTGTACTCCAGGGACAGACTGGCTGGCAGGCTCTCCAAGGCTGAGGAGTCTAGCTCACTGCACAGGACCAATGGCTTTCAGTGGTACAAGGAGGCACTTTTTAACTATTTAGGATACCGTGTCAGTTTGTAAACCAGTTTTGCAGGAAGGGGAGAGAAGTCAGAGAGCCATTATGGATTCTGCTGTACTCAGGTGATAAATCTGTGATAGCAGCAATGTTTCACTGTTTATTTAAGAGTAAATGAAACAGAAATAGCTTTGCAAAATTGGAGAGGTTCCACAATGGCAAATGAAACTACACAGCCTGTCTGAAAACTTAATGCACGTAAGGAGCAGTGGGAAGTTTATTAAGCACCCTAGGCTGTTTTTCACCAGCTATTTTTTTTCTTTGTGTTATTTATATGTCCTCAAATTGACTGCCTAACACATCTAAAATGCTGTCAGATGAAAGTCCTCGCAGCAGAAGCAGTGCTCTATGGCCTTTGCACTTACTGCCTGTAACTGTTAAGTGGGAACATGGGCTGCAGAGCAGTTAAAGGATTTGTCAGCTTGGTTTATTCAGCTTGTTTTAGTCAGTTAATACAGAAGTAAGAGTTTCTTCATTACAGTAACATTCTTCAGTAACAATCATATGTCAGCCTGTGGAAGATGAAACTAACTATTCTCCATTTTGGGACATGCCTGTTCTGGATCAGAAAATATAGTGCCTTCAAGAATTCATCTCTCAGTTCAGTGAACCAGCTTGCAGTGACAAGTCCCAGCTATTCCCCTTCCCCCTTTTTTAAGACTTAACATTTTCTTGGGTATATTTTTAAAATTCTGGTTTAGGTAGCTTTTACAAAAATGCAAAGCAGAGTGCTGCTCTAACCATTCCTGAATTTAGCCATGCTCTGTTGTCTGAAATGTGATCCCCTGGTTTATAAGCAACTAACTGGAGTTTCTGTTATGTTGTTGATAGATTGTGTTTATTTTGCCCTTGGAAATAACAACAGTCATTTGTTATAATCCACATTTTTGGCTAATTGCTTGGAGTTTTGATTCAAATATTGCCAAGATGTCTGTACATATTATTTCTGTAGTTTAGCGATGCCTCAGTTCATGGCTTGAGCATTTAGGCCTCTTCCTCTGTGACCCTCGATATTGGCTTTAGCATTGAGATGAATGGATGTGACAACCAAAAGCAAACATTTCTTAAGGAGATAAAGTAGTTGTGCTTTGATAGATGCAGCTATTTCTCTGGTCCCAGGTTCGTACATCAGGAATAAGAAGGGCTACACTGCATCTCTAAAGCTGCTTGAAATTATATCAAAAGGATTTGCCTCTGATGAACCCAGTACAGGCTAAAAAAAAACAAGACACTTTCCCACATTATCTGCACTTCAGCGATGGCAAATGTAGAGGCAGTTCAGGGATACGCCGAGCAGGACACTTCCCCATGCTGATGTACTTCCCTACTCACATGCTAACAGGCACAGCGGTGTTCACATCCAGAATGGGTACACCCTGGTACATCCTTGGCCAGGCAGTCCAAAACAAGGTGCATGTTTCTCTTGATGGGACCCAGACTGGTTACAACCACGGTTGGTAATTTATGTAATCTGTAATCAAAAATCTGTTTTCAGTATGGAAATTCTCACTGTATGTCCTCCTGTTCCCCTCAGTGAAACGGGGCAATTTGTCAATTAATTCACCACTCTTATGAGTGCTGAGCAGTATTTAACAGGAGACTAAAATTTGAAAACTAGAAAGCTTGCAACAGTGTTAATTTAATATCTTCATCTTCTTTCTACAAATAATAAACGTTTTTCTTGTTGAGAGTGTGAGCTGGGCTTTTAGGGAGTATGGAACTGCTTAGCTGTAAGGTTTTTTTTTTAAAGAAGAAATAACTACGGTTATGTAGTTCAAATCTGACTAAAACATGAACTATAACTAAAAAATCAGGAGGATGTGCAACAAAACAAAGTAGCAGTAGAGTTTTGAGCATGGCACTAAAGTCATCATGTCTGAGGCACAATCATAGAAGGAGATGAACCATTTGGCTTTTTGGGGCAGCTCAGTGGTACACAATGCCATGCAAGATTAGTCTTTAATGAAGGGCAATTTTGAAGGAATTATTGGTGCCACATTGTGGATGCTTGGCTGTTTACTTGCAAGTATTGCTTTTGCTGCTGCTTTGGAGTCTCCAGCTGCAAAGTGGTGTAACTTCTACGGTATTTTGGAAGAGATGTTCCTGTGTCTCTTCAGGAGTTTTTCTATTAAAAGAGCAATCAGATTGGTACACATAACTGGGAGGAAGGTGAAAGCAAAGAAGTCTGTCCTTCAGTCAGTTATTTCAAATTTGTTATTAAATTTGATGCCATGAAATGCCACTGTTGAATAAGATGAGCAGGAGAGTGTCTATCACTTCTAGCTGTTTATGTATCAGTATGGGGAACAGCCATCTCAGGATGTAAAGCCATTGATGTTAATGGGACAGTGTACACTGCAGTGAAAATCACATTTCTGAACCTTACAATACTGGATGTTCCTCCATTAAATTATTCAAGGAAAAAGGACCAGTACCTGTCAGTCTTGATACGTTAAAGTTGCTTAAGTATTTGGTTATCTTTGGTGCTAGCAGTCAGATAAATGTATGCATTAAGTGACCTTCTGGCTTGGAAAGGAGGCCTAGGAAGTCATAACCTAGTTTGCAGTTACAAACTCATGCTTTGCTCCAAAGCTGTTGTCTTGGGAGGATGACTGGATGGTTATGACAACCCTGCCTTCTCTGTTCACAGGTGTTCCCTTTCCAAAGAACTTCCTTCAGATCTGCAAGAAGATACTCTGCCGGCTTTTTCGGGTGTTTGTTCACGTCTACATCCATCACTTTGACCGTATCATCCTTATGGGAGCTGAGGCCCACGTCAATACCTGTTACAAGCATTTTTATTACTTTGTTACAGAGCTCAACCTCATAGACCGCAAAGAACTAGAGCCTTTGGTAAGTGTGGGGTGGGGGGGAAAGCTCTAGGAAATTTACCTTCTCCCTTCACTGAGCCTTTCCCAGGCTTGTTGCAGTGGGTTTCGTCTGGGAATCAGGTCCATGGTTGAACACCAGCAATTTAAAGGGATGAACTCTTGCCTCTGTCCATAGACCCATTCCATCTGCTGCAGTATTTGTGAGATGCTCAGTAGGCTCAGTAGAAAGAGAAAAGTGCAATGTATTTTGTATGGAAAAAAACAAGGTGGGAAATACTGCCATTCAAAAATAGAAGTTAATTTGTCTTCTGCTTCTTCCTGTACTACATATTTTATATATAATTTTATTCTGTCTTTTTTCATTGGTCAGTAGCAGCATGGTACTCGTGGCAGACACTTGAATGCATGTGAAGGGAACAGTTGTCTATATAAAGGTGAATTGTTGGTTTGTTTTTTTTTTTTTTAATCTTTAAGTAGGTGTTTGTGAAGGTATTGAGTGTGTAAGATCTGGAACACACTCTGGATCTAAGTGAGACAGATGAGGTGAGACAGAGGTTCAGACAATTAGCCGTGTAACAAAACCAGACACTTCCTTTTGGACTGAAATAGATCAAAATTAGATTAATTGTTTCCAAAAGTAAGGCTCTAGAAATGGGAACGCTTTTGCTGTTGCTTGCAAATGCAAATAAAATAAAAGTGTAAGCAGAGAACTAAAAGTAAGGCTCAATTCTGAATGCAGTTTATGCACAGACCCTCACTGTGGGCTTTTAGCCAACTTTAAAAGGGATCAGGGCAACTTTTCTCCATGGGTCAAAGTTTGGAAATTTTCATACAGCTGTGTCATACAGCTTATTGATGAAGTGCTAGGACCACTGGGTTTTTTTTTTTCCACAGAATCACAGAACGGCTGAGGTTGCCTGGCACCTATGGATATCATGTAGTCCAAATCCCTGCTCAAAGCAGTGTCACCCAGAGAGGGCTGCCCAGGACCACGTCAAGTTTTCAGTTGTTCCACATAAAAGCACATTGCAAGGAGGTGTATAGCATAGTTGGTATGAAACACTTCTGAAAGTGTGGCAAAGTGATGTTTGCCTGTGTTTCTGCAGGAATTGGAGCTGTTGCAGGTGTAGTACATGTATATGCTTATGTTGATTGAAGGAGAGCCTGTAAAGTGAGACAAAATGGATGGTCTTGTTTTCAGCAGTTCACAAGGCCCGCTGAAAGACGCTGTGTATGGCATGTATTAATAACTTGCAATGTAACTTTGGTTTCTTTCTAGATAGGATAACTTAATATGCCCTCTAAATGTGTCCTAAGGGATAGGAGGAGGCCCTGCAAAAGAAACTTCCCTGCCAGAGTAGTGATCCTAGGTTAGCTGTAGGTGTTAAATGCTGAGGATCTGTCACAAGCAAGATACAAGGCAGGATATCTCAGAGGTAGGAGGACAGGCAATCCTAAGGCTATTACAAGATCCTTGCTTGCTTTGGAATACAGAGAGCATAAAAATGATTTAATGCTGCAGTTGGTGGTTAGCGATAGTCCTTCACTAAGCAGACAGGTGAAGGATTGGGGCCAGAGTGGCGCAGGAGGCGGCCCAAGTCCAGCAGCAGAGCAAGTTAGGAATGTGCTCCAACTGGTGTGTGCTTTCGCCTTGCATTCCAGCATTCCCTCCCTTCACAAAATTATCCTTAAGATCATCATATGATTCAGTATTATTAACTTTGCTGGGATGCAGGGTCTCCCAGAAAAATGTTTCACCTGCACAGGGGAGGCACCATGTCAGCAAACGGATAAAGCTCCACCTGCTTCCATCTTCCTGTCCTTGACTTAGATGGGTGTCAGCAGTGTGGAATTGCAGAAAAAAACATATGTCTGTATTTTCATCTTCAGCTGGGCAGTGAGAAGGGAATGAGTTGCCAAACAAAAGGAGATATTACAAATAATCTTGACTTTTAATGCAGTGGTTGAGGACAACCCGTGCCCTGTCAGGTTCACCATGGCAGGAAATGAGCCCACATTATCTCCCTTAATTAGAAAATAGGCCAAGAGCTGATTAAATAAACAGACTGCCACATGCTTTAATAAACAGGAAGGCAACTGATTTATCAACATAACTTCAAGAAGGGAGAATAATTGGGGAAGCAGGCAGTAGATGAATAGCAATATTAGCTTGCAGGACTTATGCTCTTTGTTTAAAATAGATTTTATCAGCCTTTTGCAACTCAGTGCAGCAGCTATAAAATCAAATTAAGCAAATGAGTCAAACAGGGTTCCCCCTCCCATTCGAGAGTTACATAGCTTGCCCTTTATGCAATCAAAGACGGGACTATAGTTTAAAAAGCTGCATATCTTTTTCCTGTCCCCATCACTATGTTAATTTGACAGATCCCTGAGACTTCCGTAGGGCTGTTTTATGTGGGGACAAAAAAGGAAGCTGGCACAGTCAGTGACCCCGCAGGTGGTCCTGAGGAAAAAGCCGCATGTCCAATTGGTGAATTTGGGGGAAAAGAAGTCTGGAAGCATATCTGCCCTTCCCTGCAGCTAACAGGCAGACAAGGCAGTCTGCACTGTGAGAGCCCTCAGAAGACCTTTAAGGGGTGCCTCCACAGGGAGGCTATCAGGAAATAGACTAAGGTTTGCATTTTAAGATGTGGCATCTGCTCTGTGCTGGCTCCCTGTGTGACCGGCTTTATTTTCCACTGGCAGTAGTTCACCTTAATTCACTTCTGAGCCTGTTCCCATGGCCAAAACTGTCTAGTGGAGTGGTGCCTATTACCTCCATCGCACCCTCACCCTGTGTAGGTAACTGCTTGTATAGGGTGCTTTAAACACTTTATCTAAACGTGTTTTTTAGTGAGAATCTTAATGCAACTGCCTCAGCACAGTAACTTACTGTTTAAATGGCAGTCCGGCTATGGCGAGTAATGCCCCTCTACTTCCTTCCTGTGATCCCTTTTCTCTAACAATGGATTTCATAGTATGCAGGACTTAAGAAATATGCCAGAGTACTTTATAAGCACATCATGAGCAAAACAGTCTTGGTTTGGGGAATTTTACTTAATTTATTGCCAGTTAACAAAACTTTTGATTACAGATCTGGCTATCGAGGAAAAAAAGACAATTAAACAAAACACTTGGTGAAGAAAAACCTTTCTTCCACAGGCTCTAATTCAGTAAAAAACTTCCCCATTTCTGGGTCTCAGCTCACCTTGGGTTTGCTGCCCGTTACACTCAGCTACTCTTAATCCCTTTGGTGAGGTGAGGGGCAATGCAGGAGACCGGGGATGTGTGTACTGCTACTTTTTTTCCTCCACTCCAGCATGGGTTTACCATGGGACACAGTCCCTCCGCGGTGTCCCTGCTCTGGTGTGGGTTGCCCATGACCCACAGTCCCTTCAGGGGTGTGCCTGCTTTGTCACAGGGCACTTCCTTCCAAGAGTATGTCTCCAGCCACATCCCCAACAGTGCCACCAGCCATGAGTCCTCTCCTCTTAGCGGCTGCTGCTTTTTAAAATATCTGTGAGCACCATGTGCTTCTCTGACTGGTTGAAGTTTTGGTACATGGTGGGTTATTCGCAGCGGTTTCAGGGGCAGCTGGAAGTAGCTGTGACTGGCACAGGGCAGTTCATGGCCTCCCACCACAACAAGTCACCCCTGTAGCCCTCTGCTACCAAAATCCTACCAGTTATGCCCAGTACAAAACATCTTCTGCAAAGTAAGTCATATGCAATCTGTTGGTTAAAGCCTTGCTTTCTATTTCCAGTTTTGTTGTGGATTTCTTGCCTGTCTCTGTGTAATAGCTCTCTTCATGAGTTTTCCTACGTGGAATATAAGAATATTTAGCATTTGACAGAAGTATTGTGAACCTGAATTCAATAGTGTTTGCAAAGTGCTCTGATGCCATGAAATAAAAGTTGTAATAAGAGTAGAGCTTGCTCCTGGTTCAACTTCCTACCTTCAGCAGCAAGCTGGATCCTTGACACATACAAAGGGAATGGGAAGACCAAAACTTCCTGTGTTCCTTAACTTGGTGTTCACTGATTTGCTTTGTTGTTGCTTTGGGAGTTCCACTGGTGAAAATGGGAAGTGTGCAAGCACCATGCCATCATGCTTCCTAGCTCTGTAGACTTCACATGAAACTAGCAGTCTGTTAGACTGGGCTCTGAACTACAGATCCAGACCCTTGTTCCCCTTCTCTCAGGAGGTAGCTTGGATATCTTCAGAATTGCTTCATAGAACACCTCATGTCTGTTAAAGTGTTCTCAATATATGCAAACATGTACTCCATCCCCACTTGCAAAAGGTGTAGTTCTTTGTAGTTAAGATATAACTCGAGATCTATTTTTAATATATTTTGCTGGGACAGGTCACTTATCAGCCTTTTTTACTTTTAAGGAACACAGGCTGCTGTATGCAAGGCAACATAATCCCTTCCAAATAGGTTTTGATTTCTTTACCTCAGCATAAATCATCATAAATCTGATTTTCCCTTAAAGAGGGGTAAGTACCTTCTCTGATATGCATCACTTTCCATTACTCCCATCTCAGAAAAGAAAGGCTAACGAGGAATAAAGTACTGCTACAGGTAGAGCAGGTCCTCCTTAAAAGGGGAACAATGATAAGGACACTTGAAAGTGTCTTCTAGTGATGTGGCAGCATCAGGTCACAGAATAAGTTTCTCTGGTGTAAATAACACTGTTTCAAAGAAAAATAATTCCTCCTTCCATTTCTCAGTGTGAGGGGGTAGAGTGTCTTTTTTAGCAGTAGCTGGTGACCACCTTCAGATGCCTGGCTTGGCTTGGTGATTGCAGAGCCTGTTTAGTGCTGCACTCCAAGCTTAGCTGGGGCAGGTACAGATCCTGTCATGAAACCTGACGATCAGTGCAGCTACAGCAACATGACCTCTAGAAAGGGCAGGGGGAAGAAAAAAACAAAACCTTTTGAAAAGCAATAAAGTTGATGCCACAGAGGCATTAAACCACAAGGTGGGATTTTTTTTTCCCCTGGAAAGAAGGTGCCTGTCAGACAGAGAGAAAGAGGCAAAGAATCCAGCAGCTATACTTCTCCTTCAGTCATGTAAGAGCCTTCTGATTCAGAGGCCTTAGAGATTTCTGACTGAATCTCAGTGCAAAGCATTTTGTCAGGTAATGGTTAGTTGGTGATGCAGCCAAGTCTGCTCCCAACTTATCAGCATTGATCTGTGTGCATAGAATCATACAATTGTTTAGGTTGGAAAAGACCTTTAAGATCAAGTCCAACTGTCAACCTAGCACTGCCAAGTCCACCACTAAACCATGTCCCCAAGCACCACATCCCCACGTCTTTTAAATACCTCCAGGGATAAGGACTCAACCAGTTCCTTGGGCAGCCCGTTCCAGTGCCTGACTGCCCTTTCAGTGAAGTAATTTTTCCTAATATCCCATCTAAACCCCCTGGCACAACCTGAGACCATTTCCTCTTGTCCTATTGCTTCTACTTGGCAGAAGAGACCGACCCCCACCTCACTACAACCTCCTTTCAGGTAGCTGTAGAGAGTGATAAGGTGTCTCCTGAGCTTCCTTTTCTCCAGGCTGAACAATCCCAGTTCCCTCAGCTGCTCCTCAGAAGTCTTGTTCTCTAGACCCTTCATGAGCTTCGTTGCCCTTCTTTGGACACGCTTCAGCATCTCAATGTCTTTCTTGTAGTGAGGGGCCCAAAACTGAACACAGGATTCAAGGTGCGGCCTCCCCAGTGTTGAGTACAGGGGCACTATCACCTCCCTGGTGCTGCTGGCCACGCTATTCCTGATGCAAGCCAGGATGCTATTGGCCTTCTTGGCCACCTGGGCACACTGCTGGCTCGTGTTCAGGTGGCTGTCAACCAGCACCCTCAGGTCCTTTTCCACCGGGCAGCTCTCCAGCCACTCTTCCCCAAGCCTGTAGTATTGCCTGGGGTTGTTGTGACCCAAGTGCAGGACCTGGCACAATTTATTTGCAATATTTTGTTTTGATTTCTAAATCTATGCATTTTAGTTTGCCTGATATTTCACTGTGCCTTGTGCTTTTCAAAGTTAAGTTAAAAAAAACCCAAACACCACACCTAAAAGTGTGGTGAGATTTCAGTGTTAAATCTGGAGGTTTGAGCATGGTGTAATTCACTTGAAGGAACAAGGTTCCCGAAATGCATTTTTTTTTTTTAAACTTGTGGGAGGTGTGGACCTAGCTCTTTTTCTCACTATTGAGCATTAGTCATTAACATAACCTTAAATTATATCTCTAAAGAGGAGAGATAGGGCCCAAAAAAAGCATATTTAGTCTTTTTGCTGTGCAAATCTGTGCCAGGTCGTAGAGGGCCTAAGAATGTGTGCAGGACTTGTTTATTCAATATGTACTCTGATACTCGTGTTCTAATAAAAAATCTAAGTGGCAAACCCAAGTATATTTCATCTCTCCATGGCTACCCAGTTATAGAACGGTGGGCAGGTCAAGCATTCATATCGTGCCAATGAGCAGTGAGAAGTGATGCGCAAGGAGGACCCTGCCAAATAGGAAGAAATGATTCACATGGTTTGAGTACATTTGCTTCTCTCACAGCTATCAGGAATTGTCAAAGGAACAAATCTGTTTGTCAGAGATACCAGTATATGCCATTTTGATATGTTTTTCTGTTTAACCAATGTAGTGTCCTCTTACGGAGCAGAGAGTACCTTTTGTGCTCAGAAATACCCAAAAATATATTGCAAACCAGTCGGATTCCCAGCAGATTCCTACATAAATTTGGAAACTATTGATAGCACTGAAATTTCCCTCTGAGGACAGGGGTAAAAGACAGCAGGATATGGCCATCTGCTTTGCTCATTCTCCAGAAGTCCTTTTTTTTATAAGTCGCATCCTGTGAAAACTTTGACCTTTTTCTCAGAAGTCATTTTTTATAAATATTTTGTTTATGAGAATAGAAAGTAATAATTACACTTGAATGAAGAAAAATAGGATATTATTTACATGTGCTGTTCTGATAACTGTTAAAATACTGATTTAATTTAGATCCAGAGACAATCAGCCATAGTAGCAAGTGGATAGCATTGGGGCTGGAAGTGGTGTCAGTCAGTGGGGCTTAGTGTATAAAAATGGTGAAGCTGGTAATTGCCTCCATGAGGATGGAGTTCACCTGCAGCGTAAGAAAAGACAGTAAGGTTTTCTTGGCTTATTCTCCATTATTCTCAGTGTAAAAACTTCCATTGGCTTTATAGGATGATTGACTTCTGATAACATTTTCATCCAATATTTGGAGCTGCTTAAAAGTAACCATCTAAATGTGGGGCTTTTTCTGATCTCTATAGAAAACTGTCTTTCTGAATGGAATTTCTAGTGCTTGTCCAGGCAATCTACTAAGTAAAGAGATGAGTGTTTAATACATGAACCTAATCATTAAACTCTATTTGGTTGGTTGGGGTTTTTTTCTTCTTTTTTTTTTTTTCCTCCTCTTTTTTCCCCCTAGGAAGCAGAATTTGCAAAAGCTATTAGGGTCTGGGTGACAGAAGATTTCAACGTTAAACATGTTCAGGCAATTACATATTGAGGTTTGTGTGATGAGTATAACTCTACCTTTCTATATTTTATGATTCAGAGCTGCATTGATGCCCTGATGACACTGACATGATTCTGAGGCACTTTCTTTTCAGTCAGTGGAATTATTCCAGATATTCCCATAAAATTCAGAGAAAAATGTAGCCCTGCAATCCCAGGTGGTATGTTTATGTGTTTTTTTTCCACCAACACTAGTATTACACAATATGCTTCTTTGCGTGCTGCTGTAGGGTGCCCTGCACTCCACGGATGTATTTATTGACAGGTTTGTAAGCATGTTTAGCAGAACAACCAAAAACTACAAGGTGAAAAGGAAGAGTTATTTTTGTACTTACAGCCAGGATGTCAGAAGTGCTGCCATATGTGTGGCATTGTTTGTGAAAAGACTATTTCCATCTCTGGCCCTTTCAAACAGTATCTTCCCTAATCTACTACTACAAAAAAAAATCATTCAAGGTATAGTTCCACAAGCGTTTTAAGCCAAGATGAATCAGTCTGAAACTGGAAATGGTAATACTGCCCTTCCTGTCATTGCTGACTGGATAGTCCTCCCTCCTTCCTTGTGTCAGAGCTTGCCTTTGTGTTACCATAGTCAGATCCAGGGATGGATCAGCTGACCACCAGCTCAGCCAAAACTGGTGGTTTTCGTAGAATCACAGGATCACAGAATGGGATGGGTTGGGTTGGAAGGTTCCTTTAAAGGACATCTAGTCCAAACCCACCTGCAATAAACAGGGACATCTTCAACTAGATCAGGTTGCTCAGAGCCCCATCCAGCCTGTCCTTGAATGTTTCCAGGGATGGGGCATCTCGCACTTCTCTAAGTAACCTGTTCCAGTGTTTCACCACCCCCACCATAAAAAAATTCTTCCTTATATCTAGTCTGAATCTACCCTCTTTTAGTTTAAAACCATTACCCCTTATCCTATTGCTATGGGCCTTACTAAAAAGTCTGACCCCATCTTTCTTATAAGCTCCCTTTGAGTATTGAAAGGCTGCAATAAGGTCTCCCCGCAGCCTTCTCTTCTCCAGACTGAACAACCCCAACTCTCTCAGCCTGTCCTCACAGCAGAGGTGTTCCATCCCTCTGATCATTTTTGTGGCCCTCCTCTGGACCCGCTCCAACAGGTCCATGTCCTTCCTGTGCTGAGGACCCCAGAGCTGGACGCAGTACTGCAGGTGGGGTCTCACCAGAGCAGAGTAGAGGGGCAGAATCACCTCCCTCGACCTGCTGGCCACGCTTCTTTTGATGCAGCCCAGGATACGGTTGGCTTTCTGGGCTGCAAGCGCACATTGCCGGCTCATGTCCAGCTTTTCATCCACCAGTACCCCCAAGTCCTTCTCATCATGGTTGCTCTTAATCCCTTCATCCCCCAGCCTGTGTTGATACCAGGGGTTGCCCCAACCCAGGTGCAGGACCCTGTACTTGGCCTTGTTGAACTTCATGATGTTCACATGGGCCCACCTTTCCCGCCTGTCCAGGTCCCTCTGGGTGGCATACCATCCCTCGGGCCTGTCAACCACACCACTCAGCTTGATGTCAGCTGAGGAAACTTGCTGAGGGTGCACTCGATCCCACTGTCTATGTCATTGACGAAGATATTAAACAGTACTGGTCCCAATACAGACCCCTGAGGGACACCACTCATCACTGATCTCCATCCAGACATTGAGCCATTGACCACTACCCTCTGGATGCAACCATCCAGCCAATTCCTTATTCACCAAACAGTCCATCCATGAAATCCATATCTATCCAATTTAAAGAGAAGGATGTTGTGGGAGACCTTGTCAAAAACTCTTCCCTTGTCCACTAACGTAGTCACTCCATCATAGACGGCCACTAGGTTGGTTAGGCAGGACTTGGCCTTGGTGAAGCCATGCTGGGCATCTCAAATGTCCTCCCTGTCCTCCATGTGCCTTAGCATATCTTCTAGGAGGACCTGTTCCATGATCTTCCCAGGCACAGAGGTGAGACTGACAGGTTGGTGGTTCCCAAGATCCTCCTTTCTACCCTTTTTAAAAATGGGTGCAATGTTTCCCTTTTTCCAGTCACCAGGGACTTCACCTGACTGCCGTGACTTTTCAAATATCATGGAGATATGGCAACTACATCAGCCAATTCCCTCAGGACTCTGGGATGCATCTTGTCTGGTGCCATAGACTTAGGTATGTTCAGGTTCCTCAGGTGGTCTTGAACCTGATCTTCTCTTACAGTGGGAGGGACTTTGCTTCCCCAGTCCCTGCCTTGCACTCCATCCATTCAAGAGGTGTGGAAGAGAGGTCACCAGTAAAGACTGAGGCAAAAAGTGGTTGAGTACTTCAGCTCTCTTCTCATCTGTTGTTACCAGTTTGCCAGTCATGTTCATCAGGGGGTGTACACTTTCTTTGACGTTCCTTTTCTAGCTCACATACCTGTAGAAGCCCTTCTTATTCTTTGCATCCCTTGCCAAGTTCAGCTACAGCTGAGCCTTGACCTTCCTCACCCCATCCCTACACAACAGGGCAGCATCTCTACACTCTTCCCAGGATACCTGTCCCTGCTTCCACTGCCTGTGTGTTTCCTTCTTGCCCTTTAGTTTGACCAGCAGGTCTCAACTCATACATGCTGGTCTCTTGCCTTCCTTTTCGGATTTCTTACACCTGGGGATCGAGAGCTCTTGCACTCTATGGGGAGTGTTCGTAAAGATCTGCCAGCTCTGTTCTGCTCCCTTGCCCCTGAGGGCGGTTTCCCAGGGGGTCCCATTGATTAACTCCTTGAACAGCTGGAATTTTTGCCAGGACACTTTCCTGAGCAGTTACACACAGCCTAATATTGGCACAAGACAGGCGGTGGAAACATGGAGCTGGGGGAAATGTGATGGTGCAACTGCTGCTTTTGTGGCAGCCTGCACTTCTGATGGCACAAACACAGCCAAAAGAGTAGTCCTGCACTGCGTGCTGGAAGAGTGAGTGTCCCTGCTTCATGTGGGAGTTTGGGCTTGCAGCAGTTGTTAGTGCTAGTCCTGCCAGGTGTTTAAGGGGTCACAGAGGAGGCAGGATACCAAATCAAGAAGTCTCTGTTTTCACGCGAGTTTCTCCAAGCACCCTGTCTGTTCCAGAATGAGCTAAGTAAAAGTGCTGTAGGCAGATGGTGCTCAGGTGAACTCTTCGGAGTTTCTCTTTTATGCTTTTTGATTTGCCAGGGTGTTGTGGTTTAACCCCAGCCGGCAACTAAGCACCATGCAGCTGCTCGCTCACTCCCCACCAGTGGGACGGGGGAGAGAATCAGAAGGGTAAAACGGAGAAAACTCGTGGGTTGAGATAAGAACAGTTTAATAATTGAAGTAAAATAAATTAGAACAGTTAAATAGGCAAAGC